AATCCTTGTCAGTCAGATCTTGGGTTGAAGTCGAGTTCAGGTGAGTGACAGACCAGTTAATCACCGGCTTGATGGTTCGGTTGGGCTGGGGCTCGCCATCCAGAACTGGAACAAGAATCTTCAATTCACCGAGGTGAATCAATCCAAAATAAAAAAAAACCTGACCTAGAGAAGGTCAGAATACAATATTTTAACGCTGAACTGTGGTTTACAATCTGCATTAGTCCCATGAAATCAATTCCTTTACAATTAAATCACACGTTGTACAACAATTAATTCAGTTCAAGTAGGTACCATAAGATAATGAAGTCACTAAATTACCAATAAATCAGTTGAAATGAGTTTCCAACAAGAAATTCTGTAATAAGCTTCAACTTCTTTTCATATCACAATTTTATAAACTGAGCAATATTGTTTTAATTGGTCATTTAAAACACTCATCACCTCCACATCTATAACCATCTTTCCAGTTAAGGTCAAACTGCAGGAACTAATATTTAAGTGCCAAGTTAGTTCTAACGGCTGTTGAAGGTTAGCAACGGGGCTAATATAGCTTAGCATGAATTAACACACATACACACTAATAGACTCACCAAGAAAAGTCAGCTTGGTTTACACGGGGTTTCCCAAGGGTAAAGCCTGGTTTATGCTTCTCCGTCAGCTCCGCAAGGGACAGACACGCACGGATTGACGGAAGCGTTTTGCTCTTTTACTTCTCCGTCTCCTGGGGAGTGTTGCAAAGCAATTGCCTGGCAGGACCACAGAGGGTGTAGCGCTGTTCTGTGGTATCCTGTCATGTATCGGTCCAAGATCGTGTGTTTATATTGTGTTTTTTGTGTGTATAAGAGACTTTTAACACGGACATATTTGTCTCTAATTCTCCCACCGCTTCATGCGCTCCCCACCTCTAAACCAACGTTTCCTGTCATTTCCGTCCACAAATAAAACGCTTGCTGCACATCTTTTCACTCCTCCAGTCACGGGAGGATGAAACGTCCATAGTTTTAGAGTTTTTTCGCGAGGCATTCTTCAAGCTTCTCCGTGTCTGCCGCTAGTGATCCTCGGCTCTCTTTGCAATGGCGGCGCTGTAAACAACAGCGGCGTCCTGACCAATCACAAGCTTGCGTAATCCGTGTCGTTCGACGGATGTTTAAAAAAGTGGGCTCGACTCCGTACGTACTTGCGTGCCTGCCGGATCCCTACGCAAGGACTGATAATGGCGTTGCGTGTGCTCCGCACTGACGCAGACGGAGAAGCATAAATCAGGCTTAACGGCAAATCACGGTCTTCGGACCTCTGTATCTCTACAGCGTAACAAATAACTTGTCACTATTACACAGCAACAGTACCTAAACATGAAAATTTTATCCGCTTACCGAACTTGGAGTAATTGTTTTTCAAGTAACGGCTGCTAGTGCATCCTAGTTTGCTCTTCACGGCAAGTGCTTCCTCGTCAGCGTCTCAGCGCATCTGAAGGCAAGTGAAAGCTGCGTAGCGAGCAGCAGAAAGTGCTAAATTCTATTGGCTGATGCAATAGCTGGCTAGCCACGTGATTGGTTAGTCAGTTGCTACCTGAATTTTACTGGAACTTTCTATTTACTCGATTTTAGCTTTTCTTATTTGACTATTTTCAACAAGTTTGTATTTTCTTTTCTTTCTTTTTTTAAACTATGAATGTATGAATGCTTAGATTTCTATTTATCTTATTTGGTCTTTTATCCTGTTTTAACTGTTTTGTAAATTTCCATTTATATTTCATTATTCATTCTAATTATGTAATGATGTTTCTATTGTAATCTGGGTTTTACACCGGGTTACAATTCCTTCCACCGTCCGACTATAGCCCCAGTTGACGTCAGCAGCTCCCCATCCCCACTGTAAACAGTGTGAGCGAGTTGCTGCCTTCCTCTCCTGAGGCGCCGGACAGTTTTCCAGAACCTCTTTGGAGCCGATTGATAGTCTTTCTCCATGGCCTCACCAAACTCCTCCCACGCCCAAGATTTTGCCTCGGCAGCTGCCACTGCTGCACCCTGCTTGGCTATCTGGTACTTGTCTGCTGCCTCTGGAGACCCACAGACCAGCCACGCCCTGTAGGCCTCCTTCTTCATTCAGCCTGACGGCTCCCCGAACCTCTGGTGTCCACCAGTGGGTACGGGGGTTGCCACCACGACTGGCACCGGCCACCTTGCGACCACAGCTAGCAACAGCCGCCTCAACAATCGCAGAGTGGAACAAGGCCCTCTCGGAGTCAATGTCCTCCACTGCTCTCGGGACACGGTCAAAGCTCTACCGGAGGTTGGAGTTGAAGACCGTCTTGGCAGGTTCTTCTGCCAGGCGTTCCCAGCAGACCCTCACTATGCGTTTGGGTCAGCCAGGTCTACGCAGCGCCTTCCCCTGCCATCTGATCCAACTCACCACCAGGTGGTGATCAGTTGACAGCTCCGCTCCTCTCCTCACTCGGCTGTCCAAAACATACGGCCGCAGGTCAGATGATACGACTACAAAGTCTATCATCGACCTGCAACATAGGCTGCCCTGGTACCAAGTGTACCGATGGGCATCCTTATGTTCGAACACGGTGTTCGTTATGGCCAAACTGCGGCTTGCACAGAAGTCCAATAATGAAACACCACTCGAGTTCAGATCAGGCGGGCCGTTCCTCCCAATCACACCCCTCCAGGTCATGCTGTCATTGCCCACGTGAGCATTGAAGTCTCCCAGCAGGACAGTGGAGTCCCCTGATGGAGCACTATCTAGCACTCATCCCAGAGGTTCCAAAAAGGATGGGTACTCCGAGCTGATATTTGGCCCATAAGCACAAACAACAGTCAGGACCCGAAGGCGCAGGGAAGCTACCCTCTCGTCCCCCGGGGTAAACCCCAACACACAAGCAGAGAGTCTTGGGGCTAACAAAAAGCCAACCCCAGCCCTCCACCTCTCACCCGGAGCAACTCCAGCAAACGAGAGTGTCCAACCCCTCTCAAGGTCATGGGTTCCAGAGCCAATGCTAAGTATCAAGGTGAGTCCGACTATATCTAGCCGATACCGCTCAACCTCTGCCACAAGCTCCTGCTCCTTCCCCGCCAGCGAGGTGACATTCCATGTCCCAAAAACCAGTTTCCTTGTCCGGGGATCGGACCGCCAAGGCTCCCGCCTCGGTCTGCCACCCAATCCACACTGCACCGGACCCTTCATGTTCCTCCTGCAAGTGGTGGGCCCACAGTTGGATGAGCCCATGAATCCGGTTCGGGCTGGGCCCGGCCGGGCCCCATGGGCGAAAGCCTGGCCACCAGGCGCTCGCTCCCAGGCCCCAACACCAGGCCTGGCTCCATGGTGGGACCCCGGTAACCCTCCGGGCCGGGTACTCCGACTCTTTGATTGTATATCCATGAAAAATCCTCTGAACCGTTTTTTTGTCTCACCCTTCACCTAAGATCAATTTGTCATGGGAGACCCTACCAGGGGCATAAAGTGCCCCAGACAACATAGCTCCTAGGATCATTAGGGCACTCAAACTCCTCCACCACGATAAGGTGACAGTTAAAGGAAGAAATAAATATAAAAAGAGTCTGAAGTGAAATTATGGAGAAGTAAATGTTGCAAGGCTGGGAATGCAGGTTATACAGATTTAGGAAAACTCCCATTAGTCAGTGTGAAACTATATGACATGTGCTTCTAACCACTACCCTGCAGACTGAATGTCATGTGACATGCCAGCAGCAGACATGTCTCACAAGCCTGAAGGCTCTCAATGGGAGCATTTGATTTGCAGTTAAACCTGTGTAGAATATCATTCCCACAGCTCATTATAACCATAAGGACTGGAAGTACACCAAGTGACAGAAATTCTTTTTTTGGATTGTTGTCGTCATTTCACATCTGACTCTGATGGATTCCCAGATATTTAACCTTCTGTGGGGCCATTAGCACCTTGGGTGTCTGACTGCATGCAGGTTGTGTCGTGGAGCCACTATGTGGGCGGATGGGACTGCTGAGGTCACACGTGGGCCTTTTGTCATTTGTAGTGGAAACATAAAGCTTGGATACACTGCACTCATGTTAGATCATTGCCCTAAGCTTCTTCAAACACCCTCCAATGTATTCTTCACTAAATGTTAATGGTTAACTTCCAGATTTTGGCGACGGACAATAAATGAGAACATTATTGTAAAAGTGCTGCAGGTTTCTTAAGGTGGAAACACACAGCTCTTTGTACTGTCGGCTTCTATCTGTGGTTGGGCACACTCGCATTCCCAGCTGTTGTTAAACCTTGTGTCATCTGTCTAGGCAACCCAATCCCAGATGTAGTATCCAGCTATTGTTTCCTGAGTGTTGTTTGTAACACACACACACACATTCTCAAACTTCATTTTAGGAAACATCATTTTTTTTAATAAATGTTTAAATAATCCACAAAATTTAGTCATTTAAATGTATTTACAACTCCCAAGAGTATGTTTAAAATAATAAAAAAACGCCTCCATGACTTCTCAGATAAACAGTGGGCCATTGGTTTGAATGACTTATGCATCTTTACTGCCCTCTCCTGGATGATTGGGGTAATACAGCCGGAGCTGAAAACATTACCATTATAGGTCATGAAAAACTGACTTTTACACAAACTAGTAACTGCTGAATAAGATAATAAGCCTTTCAAACAAGGACGTTGATTAAAATATTTGTTTTTTTCTGCTTAAACTTCGATCATTTTATAACAAAAACTAAAACTGCAGAGGAAGAAAGCGTGATAAGTAGCTGTATAGAATAATTATGTCAGATCTGTTGGTAGGACGTTTTCTTTTGAAAACTATGAATTATAATTTCAGCATCTTAGGTTGTCCTTTCTTCTTTACATATGTGTTGTCCATTTATTACAGTTTTTACATTTTTTGCTTTATCTGTAATTTCCACTCACTGCCTTGCCTCTTCAACCCTACATTATCACAATATAAAACAGTTAAAATCTGTATGCAAAATAAATAAACACATGGATCACCTACTTGCATTTTTCGTTTCACAGTTTCAAACGGGTACGAGAGGGTTTGAGCCACCCCTGCTGCAAAACAGCCATTAATGAAGTTCTGCAGGGGAGTGAAGCGAGAAGGTGGCTCCTGCCAGAGCTTGTCTATATTTATGTAGACTACATAGCATCCCACAGAAAAAGGAACCACACCTGTGGACAAATACCACATCACTTTAGTTGTATTAATGCCTTAGCATTAATGATGTGTAAAGCAGAAATAGAATTATGATTTAATAGTTAATAATAGAGGTAAACATATGTAGAAAAAAAACAATTTCTTCACAAAAATGTGCATACATACCCACAACTGTGAGGGAAAATCCTCTGTAGAGAGCATGCAACCCTTCGTTCCTGTAGACCTTTGAGACAGTGTGAGCTACGCCCGTATAAGTGGGCTGTCTGCAGTTCTGAATAATGAGTCTGGTCTCTGCCACCTCCAGAGGGTACGTTACAAATGCTGCAGCAACACCAGCAAGCCCACCTGCAAATATGGCCCTCCATTGAGAGATGGAGCCAAACTCATCCATATGAAGGTGGACTATCCTGTACACACACAAAACAGCCACACATCTGAGCTTTTAACTTTCCTCCTTTTGGGGAAAACACATATAAAACGAGACTTTATTTTATTTATCATTCCCTAAGAAGTGTGTGTGTGTTCTTGAAAAATTAATGGTGACAGAAGAGTGCAACAAAATAGATCCACTTTACACATTTGTAGGCGTATACTAGAGCAATTCTTATTTCAACAATTAGCATAGCATGGCATAGCATAGTTTATTTATATAGCACGTTTAAAATGCAGCATGGGAGCTGCCCAAAGTGCTGCACAGGCTAAAACAAAACACAACCATTACAAGGAGCTAAAACAAAGGATAAAAATCTCAATCAAAGGCAGATAAACCATGATGAATACTAAAAACACATTAAAACAATGATACAATGAAACACTAAAACGAGTCACTGTCTAAAAGCCAAAGTGTAAAAATGGGTCTTTAAACGAGATTTAAAAACCGCCAGAGATGGAGCCTGCCGAACTCCAACGGGCAAAGAGTTCCATAGCTTTGGGGCAGCATGCACAAATGCTCGATCCCTCCGCGATTTAAGTCTCATCCATGGCGTGTACAGCAGCAAAAGGTCAGTTGACCTCATCGTGCGGGTGGGCACATATGGAGTGAGAAGAGCAGAGAGGTAGGGAGGTGCGAGGTCATTGAGTGCTTTAAAAACAAAAGTCAGTAACTTAAACTGCACTCTGAAAATGACAGGGAGCCAGTGAAGATGTGGTTACGGGGGTCAAAAACAATAAACTCAGACTTCTTTTCATTCAGTTTTAAGAAGTTGGATGCCAGCCAGCCCTTCACGTCATCCATACATGCAGCCAATTTCGAGCCCGCATTCTTCTCGTCCATTTCCATGTATAGCTGACAGTCATCTACGTAGATGTGATAGTTCAGGCCATGCTGATTCAGGATATTGCCCAGAGGTAGAAGGTAGATTGAGAACAGCAATGGCCCAAGAACGGAACCTTGTGGCACCCCCCAAGGCAGTGGAAGACTGGAGGATGCACAGTCACCAAATCTGTACAGAGATGGTACGGTTTGATAGGTAGGAGCGGAACCATTTATGGGCAACCCCTGTCACCCCAACCCAAGACCCAAGCCGATCCAGTAAAATATGGTGATCGACCGTATCAAAAGCCGCTGAAAGGTCCAGCTGGAGCAGCAGTACCCTAGACCCAGAGTCAGATGCCACCAGAATGTCATTTAGCACCCTAACCAAAGCAGACTCAGTGCTATGGTTTGGTCTAAAGGCTGACTGAAACACATCCAACAACGAGTTGTTGTTCATATGGGCAGAGATCTGACCATGCACAATTTTTTCAAGGACCTTCGAGAGAAACAGGACTTTCGATATAGGGCGGAAGTTCTCATAAGTGGAGGGATCCAAACCAGGTTTTTTTCAATATCGGCTGAACAACCGCATCCTTAAAAACCTTAGGGAACACTCCAGTGCTGAGGCTAATGTTAAAAATGTTCATGAGTGCCGGGCTCAGCGCAGACACCGAATCACGCACCAATTTAGCCGGGAGGCAGTCCACCGAAGAGCCAGCTGGCTTCATGGAGCTAATCAGTTTCATCAAGTCAGCAAGCTGTACTGGAGCAAAGTCTGAGAAGGCAGGTGGGTCCGGCGGTTCCACATGGATAGTGTGTATTTGAGGCTGGAGGCTAATTAAATACTATATATCAGTGATTCCCAAGCTGTTTGGTTCAAACATGACTAACAGCAGTTTGAAAAAGTTACCCAGCCTCAACAATCTTCATGCTATTATTAATCACTTTGTGGATTCCGTTGTGATTTGTTGTAACAATGATGGCAAACATTTCTATCATGACCCTCACACATTGTTATAATGACCCAAAGTTGGGTTCTCACCTCAACCTCAGGAACAGATCCTCTAAACTAGGAACGGACTATATATCGGCATCGATATCGGTGTCGGCTGATGTTAGTTTTTTTTTTACATATCGGTATCGGTTCGATAAATAAAACCAGGTTGATATTAACAACCGATATTTTTTCCATCTCGTCTCCATTTGGTTGCCTGTTTCAGAGGGTGAGGGGGTGATGTGTAATTGTTTAGTCATGCGAACAGTGAATGAATCATCTCAGAACCATAAATGTGTGTGGTGTGTGTAAATAAAAACGTAAATTCAGCTTTAATAATTTTCATTCTATACAAAATCTGCTGATTATAGAAGCATTAATGTCAGTATATAAGTATCGGCAAACATTGGTTATCGGCCATAACAGTGATCTTAATATCCGATATTGGTATTGGCCCAAAAATTTCATATCGGTGTATCACTACTGTAAGCCATATATATATTATTCTTTGCCATTTTCTGCAAAACAAGCATGAAACTCATGAGCTGTGCTCAAGATGCCAGAAAATAATTGAATTGATTTTAAATGAAAACTATAATAATAATAACTTTTCCACGAGTAAGGGAAAGATGAAGCACAAGATCGATAGGCGGATTAATGCGGGCGTTGTACCGATCTGTCATGGTGAAGACAGAGCTGAGCCAGAAGGCGAAGCTCTCGATTTACCGTCGATCTACGTTCCTACTCTCACCCATGGTGATGAGCTTTGGGTAGTGACTGAAAGAATGAGATTGCGGATACAAGCTGCCAAAATTAGTTTTCTCTGCAGGGTGTCTGGGCTCTCTCTTAGGATAGGAGAGATAGGATGAGAATCTCAGTCATCCGGGAGGGGCTCGGACTCAGAGTAGACCCGCTGCTCCTCCACATTAAGCAGCCAGTTGAGGTGGCTCAGACACCTGGTTAGGATGCCTCCACAGTGAGGTTTTCTGGGCACGTCCAACTGGGAGGAGTTCAAAGGGAAGGGACTATGTCCCTCAGCTGGTCAGAGAACACCTTGGGATTCCCCCGTAGGAGCTGGCCCAAGTAGCTGGAGAGAGGAAAGCCTGGGCCTCTCTGCTTAGGTTGCTGCCACCGCAACCCGACCCTGGATAAGTGGACGATAATGGATGGAAGGATGAATGGAATATTGAGACAATCCTAAAAATTCCATTCAAGACCATTAACAAAAGGCCGTCTGCAGAAAATCCTTGACTGTAAAAATGCATGTATATGTGAAAACATTTGAGACAGAAAGGGGAATCATTTCCCCTTCTAGAACATAATGTACAAAACAAGGCAATACGTTTTTCAGTAGGAAGAGGGTGAATATATAGCTGTGATCACACACATGCACACACACACACACACACACATTAGCCTTACCAGCCATCCCCATACTTCCTTATGGAAAGCAGTTCTCTGTGTAGAATTAAACAGAGGACAAGTCTGGCAGCTAGGCTACAAACACACACACATACACACCTAAATGTCTAAAGCAGATTCTGTGCTGGATTATGCTTTTTGTTGCCCTGAGGGCTCTTTATAGTCCTACTTTCAGGGCTTTGGCTTGTATTGGCCTACAGAAACCCTAGAGAGGCACTTGGATTAACAAGCCCTCTGTTGAGTCTCACAGGCAAGAATTCTCATTCACAATTTCTAGCTGCAAACAAGTGAAATTAATCTGTGTAGCCTGTTTATAAAAGAGAAAGACAAAGACACATTTGACCAGGAGTGGTTGTTGACATAAGGCTGTACAGCAGACTGCTGTTTCCTTATATTCCTTTTTAACAAATGTGACCTGAAAATCCATTTGTTAACAGCTGTTGGGTGTTTGTGAGTTTTGACAGCGCAACGCCGTTTTGGGTCACTCAGACCACCTGTGAGGCAAAACTCCGGGCACAAAATCTACATTTCACTTTAAAAATCGACTGAGGAGATGTGGCTTCCTGATTGGTCGAAAACAAGATGGTACGTCTCTCGGTCGGTGAAACAGGAAGTTAGTGTTTTGCTGCAAAAAAAGTAAACGAACAAATCCAACAACCCGCCTTTTGACATTCAGTATACCATAAAACTAGCAACTAATGTTAATTTACAGTTTAGCATGCATTTATTTGTTAGACCCGCTCTTTTGCGTTTTGTCTGAAACTTGCAAAGTATACAAATAAACAAACACACACTCAGCTGCAAAAAACACGAGGATAAAATGCCCAACGGCTGGACTCACTTCTTGTATGTTGTGAGATGAACTGCTGTGTAAGGAAACAACCGAAGGCACGAAGCCAGATTTCCTTTCCAGAACCCTCGAAGTCCCTCTTTCTGGTAGATGATGATGAAGCTTTGCCAGAAGCCGCTCTTGCTGTGAAATGTTCCCACCTGGCTTATGATTTTCACCACCTCCAAAGGGGACGTGACGGTTTTGCTGAAGAAACCAGAGAAGCCGAGGCACAGGGAGCTCTGAGAAGCGGTCAGCCGGGTGTCGTTCCTCACCGAGGCCATCGCAGTTTGTTTGGCTGAACTTTGAACTTCACGACGCCCGTGACGTTGTCACTGTTCCTACAGGGAAGTTCTGCGTGGACAGATCTAATTTTAGTCATTCAGGACAGGAGTCTCCTGCCTGCTGACCTGACCGGTGGCGTTGCGTGACAACACATCCACGTGACTCTGATCGGTACCCGGGGGGGGGAAGACACGGAACTTTTGGACGCTAGAGGGCGCCCTTTGACCTAAATTCAAATCCCTATAACTGTGCCCCTAAATGGTTTTATGCATTGGGTTAAAAACTGGTGATTATATAATTGCAAAATATACCATCATCTTAATATTACTGATAAATAATCAAATAAAGACAAATTTACTATATTAAATAACCTGCCTGATGTGAAAACTGCTAATTAAACATCAGCTACATTTGCTTCGTCATCCAGGTCATGGTAATCCAAAAGGGTTCACATTTAGGCTACTGGACTTTAAGAAACTAAAGAAGTCCAGTTGGCTTTGTTTGAACCCTTTTGGATCAGCTATGTTTAATACAATCATGGTCAATATGTAGATAATTTGCTGAAATGTTTTTAACCCTTTGTTTTTACTAGTCCAGTAAAAAAAAAACCTTAGCAAATGTCAACACTGAACATTTTAGCACACATTCAAAACAATTTAGAAACATAGCTACACAGTCCCTATAAATAGGGACAAGAGTATGTTAACAGTCTTATAAGCAACGGGTGTTGTCACTTTAAAAGTACAGGATTTTATGATTGGATGGGAAATCTTGTGAAATGTTTCAGCTAGTTTTAACTTTCAACTCATAATAAAGTATTTAAACTTCTGGCCACATTTAATGACCCTTGTGTTTTAAAACTGATTGATGTTGCAGATTGTTATCACTGGATGGCTCATTTTATCATTTACTGCCACAAGTACAAGCAGATACTGACAGAAGTTAGTACAGCTTGACTTTTAAGTTGAAGGCATGACAGCTGAATCTGGCCTTGGTTTTGAAAATGGCTTTTCTTTCAAATATTATCTTCTAGAATCTTGGGTGGAAACGGAAAGCTGATTACAGCACAGAATAAACAAATCCTTCCCTAATTCTTACTCTAACCCTTACTGTTCATCATTTACCAAAACAAAAATCACATTTTTGACATAGGATGTTTTTTTTAATTAATTGCAATAACTAAAAAACAGCATTTCCTCAGTATTGTGCACAGATGTTTTCTTGTTGTTTTTGTTTTGCTATCTTTGCTCCTGCCAATATTGTAAAAACCTATTTTGTCCTATTTTGTATTTTTCTAAGTGGTCAAACGTGCCTTTGATGTATTTGTAGATATATGTTCAGTTAAAAAGTGTTTTGTTAACAACATTTATGTATTGTGGGAAAACATGTTTCATTTAATAGACCTAAAATCTGGGAAAGGTTTTACTTCCTTTCATTTTGTTGAGACTGGTGTGGTAAAAGCTAGAAAAGAAAAACGTGTCTTGACCTTTTCTCCAAGGTAGTTTTTTTTTGTATAAATTTAGTTTCCTACTGTGACAACAGAAGAGGAAGAGAAACTTGATATATTTTGTTTCAGTAAACGACATTGGAAAACCTTACAAGTGAAAGCTGAAAAACTAGAAAATGGTGCAAAATTCCATTTATTTCAGTAACCCAAGTTAGATTGAGAGAGCATCTAAAGGCTCGGAACCCTTTGCAGGTGTTCTGGTTTCATTAGCTGATTAGAGTGACTGACTTTGAGTCTAGAATATTGAACCTTTTCACAATATTCTAATCATCTGACATTTTTGGATGTGGGGTATCATAAGCTGTATCACAATTATAAGAAATAAAGACCTGAAATATCTGGCTCTGCATGGAATGAGTCTATCTGATGTACTAGTTTCACATTTTAAGCCAACTATTAAAATAAATGAACTTTTGCACCATTTTCTAATTATTTGAGTTTCACCTGTAAGTTATTAATATTTATATCTGACCTTTGAGTCTTGGGATCTGACAGGAGACTCCATCTGCAGGTGTTGCAATATTTTCACGCATGAGGCCTGGACCGTCTTGCTCTCAGATGACACTCACCTGCTTGGACTTGTTTTTATTTTGGAAAACTTGATATGACAAACGTCACTCGTGAGTCATATCCGTCTAAGTTTAAGCTTTGGGAGCTGATGGTCAGTCCTCAAAGTTGTCATAAATGAAGACCCCTGTATCGGGTTTAGTGCCCCAGAGGTTTTACTCAACCTTCCAGAGAATGAAAGCACAGACAGGACACAACAAAAGATCGCAAAGAAAGTAAAGATTTAAAAAACATTCATGGACCTTCTAAATGTCAACTTTGAAATCACAGATTTTTTTCAATGGAACATATCGCCTTTTATTTTTCCAGTCTGCAGAATTTAAAGCAGATATTTTTCTTATTAACATTTTATGTCTTGATTAAACGTTTTGCTTCAGCTTCATGTTCCAGCCAAAAATAATCCTTAAACTTGTTTTCTTATTGCACCATCAGCTTAAATCATGTCTGACCCACTGTAAGGTGTATCCACCAGCAGGGATTTGAGCTGCCTGTCTTGGTTCATCCTCGTGTTTGTTTTCTCCTCATCTCGGCCCACCAGGAGAAACTCCCTCCCCTGCCGGGCTGATGGCCTCAGATCCATTCGAGGTGCCCACCTTCTGTCTCTGCCTGGGCCACTTGGCTCCTTCACAGACGCTTTCAGGAACAACAGAGCCAAGCAGAGGAAATTACATCCTGATCACAAGAGGTTCCCTGCTCTCCCCCTTTGAGCTGAGAACGAAGGGTGTGTGGATCCCCCTGCGGGAATGGGATAGTGCCTGTCAGTGCTGGAAAATGTCAAAACCAATTGAAACTTATATGTATTAATGTGTTATAAATGCAAACAGTTTACTTTTTAAAGTGTTGGAGTGGCGGACGGGTGCTGGATCACTGGCTGATGAGAGAAGTTGTAATTTACTGCTGTGCTCCAACAGAAGAAAATCACTTTTGGACTTCTTTGATCTCACTCTCACATGTGCGTGACAATCTGATGTCCTAAAGATAAGTTCTATGATGTTGCCTACCTCTGTTCCTTATCAATTAATGCTTCAACAATCAAACAGGGAGCCTCCAACAGTCTGTGGCCACCACTCTGTCTCCTGCACTGTTCCTATCTCCACTCCTTATGTTGCCTCTGCCCATCACACACTAAGCAAGGCCTCCTTCCTGAATGAACATCCCTCTGCTGAATGAACACTTCATTCACAAGGAAAAATAGTGCGGGAGCTGCTTGCATGCCTTTGTGTCTCTGCAGCTTGTTGTAGCTCTAGGTTGGCTGTGGTATTGTCATTCTCTGGATGTCATGCGCAAGTCAAGCCTTGATCTCCCACTTTGAAGTGCATCGTTGCAGGACCTCTGTTTGGATGTGAGCTCACAACGATCAACAGAGGGCGCCCAATGCCAGAGAGCCTTAAATTGTTCTTATTTTTCCATCTCACAGAGTCTCATCAGACTTGAGTTGGCAGGGGACAGGAAAGGAAAGGACGACTTTGGGGAGCAGACTCTAGAGTTAGCCTGTCTTTATTTGTAAAGAAGAGGGTAAAGGGAGGTTTTTTGTGAGAAAAAAGGGAGGCAATAATGCAGTTCACGCCCCTAACTGGAAGGCTCAGGCCAAACTGCTCCTGGCTCCATGAACGTAGTTCTGACTTTAGAAGTGGGGGACACACAACCAGCATGAGGACTGGGGGGAAGGGGGGATCTTTACAGTAAGTTGTAATGGGAAACAGGCTTCAACACAAACATTTGTTTTTCGTTTGGTCCTAGTGATGAACCATTGTCTATTATATATAGCGTAATATTGTTTTTGGATGGTCAAATATTGACTTTGGAAAAAGTGAGGGTGACATGTCTCCCCCACAAACTATGTCCATGCCTGGCTCACTTAACAGGAATGGGAGACTTGCTTTGCATGGAGGCCTGACTTTAATTGTGTGAATCCAGTGATGATGCAAACTGTGAGAAGTCATTGTGTTTTGTTAGGAACAATTAATGGGAATTTGCATGTCATTAATGTTTCTTACAAAAAAGTTTAATCCACTGTTTCATCGCTCTACAGGCCTGTGAATGTGCTTCAATACTGAAAATCATTTCTTAATCACAAATATTTTTACTTTCCTTGTTTTTCTGATATATTTTTTTAAAAATCCCTTTTCTTGTGAGGCACCTTGTGATTTTTATCTTGTGAAGCGCAATATAAAAGATCATTTTTTCTTCTTCAAAATAAAAATCAAATGATCACAACTCATACTTTTATTTAGGATTTTAAAAATATTTAGCAAATTTTGGAATTGATTTTTTTGTATTTTCAGTCCAAGCTTAGATTGATGCAGTAGTTTATTACTATTATTTTTCTCCCTACAATTTCAGTGATTCCAACAATTAACCATATATAGTCAGAAAGCTGATGACCAGCAGGCCCATTGTCTGAGGGGAGAACTTCTGGCAGCTGCCCTCCCCTTATCTGCCTACGTACAATCAATAAATCAATATCGAATCCGAGGAACAGGAAGCCAGATGGCCTCTCCTCAACCTCTCCAGGTCAGGCGGCTCTCAGGGCCTCCTTGGCTACTGTACCACCGCTGCATACAGCACTCCTTTGAAGACACACACATTCAGCAAGCTGCTCAATGAATGACTAAAGGGAACAAATAAGCTGTTACGACTCTGCTCAAATCAGTGTTTGTGTTTCTATCCACATCAAAGGCTCGGGTGTGTTTGATATGCAGCCCCCCACACCTTGATTCGAGCTACAGGTAGAGAGGTGGAGCAGGGCATTGAGAGGAGCCCTGGCTTGAGGGTAGCTGACCCAGACGGAGGGCCTGGTCATGTCTCTGGTTCCCCAGGGAGCCATGCGGCATTCAGCAGACATGTTATTTATTGGGTGGTCTATTGATTACACACTTTTAAGGAATTTGGAGAAATAATGACAAAACGGAGCCCATCTTGCAGTTTGACACTGAAACAACGAGAGGGTCATGCAGGTCAGGTAGCTAAATTCATCCCGCCAGACTCATCTCGATTTCAGTGCAGGCCAGAGGCCAGGTTAAACAGTAGTTTGATTGAATGGTTGTTCACAGAGCGGTGTGAAACGCCAGCTCTGTTGCAATGT